CCCGCGTAGTTTTGGTCTTGCAGTGTTTGACTTGACTAAAGGCATTTTGTCACCACGCCTCTCCGCCATATCTCGGCTGGCCGCAATGTTTCCCCGAGAAGTGGAAGGCTTTTCCCTTTCACTTAAATCCCAAAGCCAGAGAAAAACTTAGAAGAAAACATGAAGAACATGTACAAATTTTAAAACATATACCTCTAAAAAATATCCGTCAACTTGAAATTCAATAGCTTATCTTTCCATTTTCCTTACCAACAAGTCAGATTTCGTTAACAAAAGACAAAAAACAACAACAACAACAAAACAAAACAAAAACAACAAAGTATATTCCAACTTTAAAAAAAACTTCATAAATTGTCTTTGGAGTGGAAAGAATACGGGCTGGACGGAAATAAGATGGACTTTTTGGACAGTTAGTGTGGCCTGTGGCCCCTCTCTGCCTGTCTGGGAGAAAGACTCCAAAGCCCCTCCACAACCCCTTCCTATGGTGAGGTGCACTCTCCGCAGTAATGTTTTGGTCCGGAATTGGATTTGTTGTTCGTCCCCGCGGCCATGGCTAGCGAGGCATGGCTCGATAAAATAATGCTGATGGGGAAGCAATTAAGAAGATTTGCCCCCCTCCGCAATTGAGTTGAGTAACGCGGAATGCTGCCTTATCCATTACCCTTCAGCCCTTCAGTCGGGCTCAAGTATTCGCCACACAGCCAATGACGGATCCACAGCGCTCTAGCTCTCCGCATCTGCCTTATTATTCCATCTTTTATATTCCCTTTCCGGGTTTTCGCGTCGACAACCGCGTACCTCCCCCTTCTTACAGTCCAGCCCCCCCCCTTTCCCATCTCCCCTTCCTCTCGGTCCCAAGGCGTTCCCTTTCCTGCTTTCAAAAATGCATTCCCTGTGAAGGAATCTTTACTTCAGTAGTCTAATATTTGAGAAAAATAAAAGATGTTTACAATTTCTGTTTCGAGTAGAGCGCGGCGACTGTGTTTTTAAGTGACACTCTGCGCGCAGCTTCTCAAGGAAGTCATTCCCAGTGATCTAACGAAATTGGACGGCTACAAACGAGATTTGAAGTTGTTCTTGCAGCGGGCGAGTCCCCTGCTACTGCCGGGGCCGGCCGCCTCGCCCTGTGCAACATAACTGACTTGGACTCATATCTCTCTTGTCGGAGGCACTTGGGAGTTTGGGGTGAAGGGACTCAATCTTATTGCCAATCAGGTGATGGGCTGCTTACCGTCGAGTGAGCCTGCCATCCCGCTGTTTCCACCTGGAGCCCCCAAAATGTGAAGTGCACCGCATACACCGCGTTATTGTTGCCAACACAATTTCCAGTCTGCACTTTGTGCTGCACCATTGCAGTGCTTGCCCCTTTGCAATTTCGAGTGCTTATTGCTGGCTGATTTTTTTCTCCTCCTGGCTAAAGTGGCAAGAGAACGAGAGTTCGGTGCAGTAGAGAGGGATAACTCACGATGTGAAGTGCCCGGGCCGCATTACGCTTTACGAGGGGGGGCAGGTGAGAGGAAGGGGTGTGTGTGTGCGTGTGTGTGTGTGTGTGTGTGTGTGCGCTTTACGAGGGGGGGGGGGAGGGACGTCGCGTGCAAGGCGAGCGGGTCACTCGAAATCCGACTGGTAGGGTGTGCGGTGGGGGTGAGGGGGCGCTGCCGGAAGGCCGGCCAGACGCAACAACGCACTCCACTCGAAAAAAGAGAGAAAGAGAGCTGGCTGGAAGTGTGCACGGAACACGATACACCTGCTTGCTCGTGTTACACACGTCAGGATTTTTTTCTTTCTTTTTTTTTGTTTGTTTGTGGTATTGGCGTGATTTGATTAACTCTTCCACGCTCTTCCACTGTGAGTTTCTTACGTAGCACGTAGCGTGCTAATGTGTTGTTACATAATATGACACATCCTTGCTGTATTGCGAAGAGCCCAAACAACCGGACTGTTCGTCAAAATGGCCAAGTGAAAAAGATGGCGTTCGTCAGGTGTTTGTAATTATACATTCACATGTGCACATGTGCCTAACGATATCAATGCTCGTAAATTCAAAGAGAAGTCAGCTGAACGAAACTAAGAGTGTAGGCCTGGACCCGCATATTCGGGTTGGGTGATGCGTTTTCGTCTTCCACCTGACGGAAGCTAGATTGTGTTGCAGACAACCCAGGCGGAAAATCAAAATGGTATAGGGAGGGTAAAGAGGCCGGTTACCGATTTTACCCTAGCTATATATTTTTTATACACATTTATTTCCGTCGACTCCAGATATTTCGTTAGGGTCACGCTCTGCTCGCACACGGGTGCTCTATGGGGTCGACGACCTGCATGCGCGGGGGAGGGAGGGAGAGAGAGAGAGAGAGAGAGAGAGAGAGAGAGAGAGAGAGAGGACTTCGGCTTACGGCAAAGAGGGTTCCAGCATTCCTTCTCTTTCCCCGGTAAGAAGCTATAGATGATGCGGGGAGCTCGTATTGTTCTTCTTGGGGGCGCTGTCGTGTGGTGGACGGTATAGACCTGCTGTGCGCTTATCTGAGGTAATAACCAGCAGGAGCCTGCCTGACTGGATGCCTCGGAGCTCTCTCCTGACGTGAACCGGATATTTAATACATAGAGGGGAGTATGAAGTTGGTCGGTCCGTCCAGGCGGCCGCGACGCAGATGGGCCCGTCGAGTTTACATGCCTTTTTCATTGTGGGGCGATTATAAAGTCGTCAGATTGTTGGGGCGACAGCAGGAAAGGCGGCGCGGCTCGCCCGCTCGGCCAGCCGGGCCGGGCCCTGGCCCGCGCGGTGCCAATGGAGAAGACAAACTGAAAACGAAACTCTGCAGACAGGCGCGCTGCCGAGGAAACATCGAGCTGGAACCAGAGGCCTTGCGGTGGCCCGGCCTGGCCCGGACCCCAGAGGCGTATTGTTTTCCTTTGGCGGAAACTTTGCAGTCCAAAAACGCAGAGAGTTTGTTCAGTGTATATGTATATATGTACAGTGCCGCGTATTAACCCAGTAAAAGACGCAGCGAATTCCTGCAGAGACGTAGATGGCGACGCGACGAGGTCCGGTGGTGGAATAAAACTAACAAAAAAAAAAGTTTAAACTGCGTGACCGCTTGTGCGCGCTGCGCCCGGGAGGGGAACTGACTTCCTGCGGTTCCGTCGCCCGAGAAAAATATCTCCGCTCACGTTAATCTCCGTGGGCTGTCGTGGTTTCGAATACCAAGAGAAAGAATGCCTTTCATATATTTTTTCGTCCCTTCTTTTTTTTCTTACTGACCCGACAAAAGTGCTACCGGCAGGGAAGATTAATCTCTCTCTCTCTCTCTCTCTCTCTCTCTCTCTCTC